AAAACGGGGAATATTCAACTGATATCATTCGTGAAGTTGTAAAGCAAGCAAAGATGGAGGGACTTGGGAACAATCCACATGTGTGTATCTATGTAGAATTCATACCAGTTAGTGACAAAATCATCAGTATTAAATTTGAAAAGAGATCACCTACTTCACATTCAGTCTAGCCACAACGCGCTGCCAGCTCCGTAAAAATAAAGTCCTCCACATCAAGGGATAGGCAAAAAGGCGGAATAATTCCAAGTTTTCTCAGCTGAAACAAAAAGAAATACCAGAAAAGAAAAGCCGATTCAAATGGAGTAGGATTGTGTACGGTCAGGAAATTAGTTGAGCACGAGAGCTCCGACACCAATAGCGCCTGATTATTCAACCAAGTGGGCGATCAGGAGTAAATTACTGTTCCTCAGGTACGTTCAGATTAATGCTAAACTCACCGGCTCTCCGTCCTGTGTGTATCCAACAGGAAATGGTAACGAACTAGAGAAGTATTGCAACAACGGTTGCTGTGCTTAGGTTCAAACTTAAACCCAAGGCTATGAAGCATATCCTCGCCGATGAACTAAGGAGATGGGAGTGGATAAGCTAGGCAGTGGAGGCAGCAGCTGACAGCGACAAGGCGTAAATCTAGGGTCCATATTGCACTTTTCATTGAGGAGGTATGAAAAGGAAAATGCATTAGAGCAAACAGCTCGGATACATGCACGTGACTAGGCCATGTCTGCAGTACGGCAGTGAAGCATCGGTGTTGAACACTGAGGTCATGCTGTCGATGATGATGATGTCTCTAACCCCTGGTGTGTTCTGTAATAACCAGCACAGCTAACTTTGCTGGTAACGACCCTCACTGCTCGACCGCTCCTGACTCCTTTCCACTCGAGGAATTGTAGCGACCCAGTCATACACATACTTGACTGTTCAACTCACAGTCGCTCACTGGATCGCGAGGCTTGTCTTTTTTCTCATACGCACCAACACGTCGCACTAAGCTGGCTCATCGGACATCGATTGTCTGCACCGCCTAGTCAGCATAGCAACCACTCATGTGCCGACGCGCCCACATACACACACTGGGATCTACATAAAGTCAAACCGAACCCAGTCGAAACACAAACTCGCGCGCGCGCAGGGAGCAGGACGTCAACCTCTCCACAAGTCCACGGACAACCATGGAGTACGTGTAGCAGTCTAACTGCGGAGAAAAAACACGATCCCGCCGTCCGGACTTCCACCAAGGGACTCTCGCATCCGATAAGTTCCCTTTTTGACTTGCTCCCATTTTCGCACTGTATTTATTTTTATACGTGTCGCAACCATATTAAAAACTTTTATTAGTGCACATTCACCTTCTGATTTGTATTATGGATATCATCACCTGTGTACTAATAGACTGCAGTCGACTTAGCATGTAACCAAACCAGTGCAACTCATAGTCTGATTAGCTCATCTATCATTTGTGAAATCCATATGATTTACTTCAGCGTTACTGACCCAAGGTTCCAACCAGACTCGATCAATGCTCCGAAGTCATCGACGGTCAAATATTGAAAGCGTTTTAAAGTCCTTAGCTCACGGTGGGCACGTTTCTGACCCATATAACAATATGTAACGCACCGCAACATAGTGAACTTGACAGATAAGTTGATGCCACGTCTGCGCCACAAACGCTGTCCTGGCCCTCCAAATTCGGAGGGAATTCCCATTTTCAAATGGATTACTGGAAATGACACAGTTGAGCCTTGCTCAGCTCATCTGCAAGCATGAGATTAGGGTTCAAACTCAGTCATGCAACAGCCATCTACACTTCTCAGGTGTGATGTGCATGCCAAACCGTCTGCACTAAGATGATGTCAGATTCAAAATCTATATAACCTACTCTATATCTATGAGCTCTTCACTGTTTGGCGCTTGAGAGATTGGTGTACGTCATCGTACTGGAATGAATTTCCTGGCATCAATCAGAACAAGCGATTTTGACGATATCCAGTGGTCGATCAGTTGATCGTATCAAAAAAGTCGGACAGACAGTACTAATTGCCGCTAGCATAGTTCCTTTCACATTTTATCATGCTTCAGCCATGTGATAGTTACCAGTGTAACGGTGATACTACTGATGGGGAAGGCAGGTGAGTAGTATGTTTTCTCCTTGTAATTCGCTTTGCGTCTTTTGAAAAGTGAGATCTATTGCGGAATTTGTGGAGTTGCTTTTTAGGATTTGCTTGGAGTTGAGCAACAGTCAATGAATATCCAGGAAAGTTCAGGAAGACGAGTTCAGAAGAAGATGGATTTTCAGTTTTTGTAAACAAGATGCATATGACAGTTTTGCTTCCCTGTCCAACAGTCTGTAACTGGTCAGTTGGCATTTTCCAATAAATAACTCCGCAGCGAAGGCCTTCTTCCTTTCACCACTACAGTGTTGGTTTGCTGTAGAAAGTAGTTGACCAAGGTCAGATTGATCCTGCTGAGCTATAGCAGTTCTGCTAAGATGATAGATAGACAGTTCTTGCCCAATGGAAAGGGTCTGAAGGAAACCGAATAGTCAGAGGTTCTCACAATATGGTGTGATGGGACTCAGGTTGGGTGCCCAGAAGACGCGGAAGTCTTGAATTGTGGCTGTCCATCAGTGGCTGATAACCACATGATCAAATTGAGTGTCCACCAGGGCACACACATAGTGCAAATGGTTTTGCTGAAAGTCCTTGCTGGTCATAAACAGTTGATGATCAGCATACAGTTGGAAAGGTAAAGTTGTGCATCATGAGACGTGAGAAACATTGTTCGAATTGACCAGTAGTTCACCATCACTAAACTGTGCTATGGAACGACCTGATAAGTCCCATCCCAGGCCTGTGATCAAGCGAGTTCCAGGTTTTGCTTTATTGTGGGATGGACACCTCGTCGAGTCTTCGAATAAAACCATTTAAATAATACAAAGATGTCAACAATGAACATCAGTTTTAACCAAAACAGATAGATTTGTTCACTGAGAATGCCCGTCCTCACGTTTTGCGTTCAATGTCTTACTGTCGATACCTGACAAATGCACAATGTACCAGCAACGGACCGTCAGACATATCCATCACGGAACACACTATCCAGTTGTATCAGCCCTGACGGTAGTGTCTGATGATGTTAGTACATGAGTCTCCAACGCCAGAATCGCGCTTGCCAACTGGCGTCGCTCGTGACCTCAGAAAGGCATACCAATAAGGTAGCGTGCACCAGGTTACAGTAAGGCTGTATTGTTGTGTGATTGTGCTTCAGCAGACATATGATACGACGCGTCTTCAGGTTTTTGACCATTGATGTCTCAGAAGTGCCGGATGCAATCAATGTACTTGTAACGAAGTACCCGAAAACGGGTATGTGGCTGTGCGGCAGGTACCTCCGTCTTCGAAAACATCCGCAATCATCAGCTGCGGTGGCTTGGTCGTGTGCAACGCACGCCGAAACATCAATCACCGAGACGGGTGTCGTTCTCCGTGCTGTTCCCCTTCAGAATGGCGAAAACTGAGAGATGGACAACATATGACAAGACAGAAGGATGTGAAAGAAATTACGAAGAGTTCCGGTGTTGTCGGTACGGTCCACCTTCTAGGATGGGGTCCCCGTAATCCACTGCGCTTGGTTGGGGACACCGCAAGGAATGGCTGCTAATCAACGTCAGCGGCATTCGCGCTGTCACTTTCTTTCCACGTTGTCTGATCGAGCGCTCCAAAATATAGACAGCTCGGAATGCTTACGATAGACTAGCACCAGGACCCTCAGTGTTAGCACTGATGTTGCTGTTTATGATGGTGATGACCATCCGTAATAGCGCTTTAAACTCTTCGACAGCCCATGACTAGTTTATTCCTACTTGCATCAGGCAGGTTTATTACCCGGGTTTTCTCCAACTTCATGTTCTACTTGGACACCAAGTTGTACGCTATTGGAGAAATGCAAATTTTCAGACGTTTATGGGTCTCCAAAAGCGTGAAACCGGCCGTGGGCTGCCGAGGAGTTTTTGCGAACCGTATGGGGTGTGTCCCGTCAGGACAATATAATGCGATGCCTCGAATATCCTATCAACTGGAACAAAGGCTGCCTTTTTGCAGTACACGCATTTGAATAATACCATTAATGAGATTCAGTTGGCATTCAGTCGGGTCACCAATCAACATCAAGTTAATCTGCAACCAGTGTTTCAAAGTGCCGTTTATGGTGGAGTAATCTGTGGACGATTAGGCAAACTGTAGAGGAAGCAGTTGGCACTCATGAGAAATATTGGTTCTTAGATATCACGTACTGTTCCCATTTATTTCTCACTATGATAGTGTAGTTTTTCAGCGCACGAACCATCCACCCAAGTGCAGTGGTTCCTTTGTTCACAGAGGATAAGAGGAATACAGGAATGGAACCCACGTGTTGAAGGCCCAATTTGCTTACACGTTTAATTGTGCTGCCAATATATTACTACAATAAGAGTGATCTTAAGTAGAAACACTGTAATAGTAGCTGGGACTCGGAAGAGGTCCCAGACGATTATGTGATGACATTTCGGAGGGACAAACAGTCCACTTATTGCGAGCAGCGTTCACACCAAACCTGGACCGAAATTTTGTTGCGTAAAAGTTTCCGCTCTTCTTGGATGTTCTGCAAAGATTTTGGAAATGTGGCAGTGGTTCACAGCGGATGCGGCTTCCAAATGAATCCTAAAACCAAACCACTTGCTGATCGGTGGTTTGCGCACAAAGAAAGGAGCGCATCACTCACGCTCAAAAATTAGAGGCTACCAAATAGATTCTCTAGACTAAGGAAGATCACCTATCAAAGTGATGTGTCCATGTTTGAAAACCACCGGCGAACGCGAGGAATTTACGGCTGGGAACAACATGACATGTGGAACAGCTGCTCTGCAAGGACATGATAGACTCACAGCCAGTTTTTTTTTGAATATTCAGTGAAAAGAAAAAGAAAGAAAGCGTTCAGCTGCAGCACCCTTCCGGTGCCTAATTGCCATGCCACCCGAAGGAAGCACGAGGGCTGGGATACTGCCAGGTTGCCCAAACCTAGACAGGGGAAGTCGAGAGGCGGAGGTCGGATTCGAACCACGGACCTCCCGGTCAGTAAATTCGCGCTCTAACCACTTGAGCCATCTCGCCCATCTCTCAGTGAAGTAGGCTGTGATATGGAGGACGAGGCGAACAGCTACAGGCAGCGTGGAGAGCCAACTGTCTGTTGTCTACTGGATCTGAGAGACACGTAATTTGTTTTTTTTAAGGACGTTTGTAAGTCGTTAAAGCACAATCACATGGGAGGTGGAGATGTGCAGCTTCTTGTGTTACGACCACACTAGTCACAAACCACGAGTTTACGACATCGCTGTACATATTAGTACTCATTGTTTCCATTCATGTTACTGCATACATCAACGATCAGCGCAAGCTGATCTACGATCCAGAAATGACCGTTGAATTGTGTCGTGTTAGACGGTTTCTGTTCCACTAATGCGACAGAAGAAAAAACTGAGTAACTTGGACTGTTCATGACGTGATTAAAAAGCGCGGATCGATCGCTGTACAAGTCGGTGACGTGGCAAAAACGCGAAGCGAGGGTGTGGGAATAAGTGAGACAGACGTAACATGGCGTACGCCTGTCACAGGTAAGATTGTCTGCAAAAAAAACAGCTAAAACGTTTACTGGTCGTGACTGATTCAAGCAAGAGATATTAGATAACCGCCTAAGGTCAACAAAATCACGAATTATTCAAGTCAACGAGGTTATTCGGAACTAGGCAGTACAAAGTACAATCAATAATAGAACGGTCACTATGAACTCACAGAATTGAGGGGTTCAGAGCACATGCACACGCAGACATACGGTATTTGTGTGGGAGAATTATTGATTCGCCGTTGTGTATCGATTCTCCAAAAAACTACCGGTAAGAAAAGCGTCCAGTTGGCTGCTCAGTATGGCAACATTTGGGAGAAGGGTAATAACTAAAGTGGGCTACAAACGCCGTTACACCTAACCAGTTCTGCTGATAAAGCGTCTTCCAGGAATGCTTCAAAGAAAAGGCGGGAGCCGAATGCGTTCATCCAATGGTTCCGAATGCTTACGCAATCAGCGCCTTATTGTCAACACACCATTTAGTCACTGAACAGAAAGCCGGTGTAACGTGTACACAATCTCTTCGCAAAGATGATATATTCTCGTTTGCTAACGAAACGTTTGTAAGCTCGGCGAACAGACCACCTGACTAACAACCAATAAAAGCACGCGAACTGCCAGTATTGTGATACATTGCCAACATTCTGTACTGGGCTCATGGACACAGCTGGAACACGCGAGGACAATGTGGATAGTGATGATTATGACTACACTATCTATACTACCCAAGCGTCCTGCGGCACAAAGGCCCATGGTTGGACGCTGGATGTGTAACGGAGCGTCAGACTGTTAGAACTCTAATCCGACAGAGATCTAGACTATTCCGGGAGAACGTTAGTCGACGTGTATCAAAGAAAACGAAAAATGAACGTACCTAGGAGATGCACAAAACCAATGAAAGTAACCATCCAAACATTCGCTCCGTTTTGTCGGGTACTCGTAACACAAGCTTGAATAGACACGTCTCACTCTTACATGAAAACAGTGAGCTCAGTCTAGTAAGCTGAAAAGCGAACAAGTAGGCACTAATGTTAGCCTATCACGAATACTCTGAGATACTAATTTGGACAGAGTGTGAATAGGCAGTTGCGGCACCACTGGTCGTGGAGTGATGGTCACATCTTGTTATGTCCACAGCGAAATTGAGGAATACCAAGACCACATTTCGGGAGGCAGGTTGTATAAAACATAATCCGGCATTTCACAACATTTTTCATATCTTTCTACCACGTCACTCACTGTCGCCGAGTCTGCACATGCACTCATTTACTAATTGATACACAATAGTTGAGTACCAAATTCCAGAAAATCCAACACAAACAACCTAAAAAATTGTTAATAAACCCTTCTAATGAGACGCCCGATAGCCAGACGAACGTTGTTTGAAGGACGTTGTTTAGAGGAACACAACTCACAAACCATTCGATAGCCCACAACCGGTTTCTCACTTCTTGAAGCTCATCAGGTGGGCGAATTTTCCGTGAACCTGATGTTCTGTACGAAATTCGCCAAGCATACTCATTTGGTTCTAACGTGAAGTCAGGTTAAAAACAAATTGGTGTAAATGAGCGCATTTCACGCACAACAGATTAGATTCAAATTGAAGTGGATAGAAGCTTTTCTTTCGGCATTTCAGTGACCTGCTTGACCTTTGTCAAGCAGGTACAATATTCACGAATTTACTGACCGGAGGGTCCGTGGTTCGAACCCGACCTCTGCCTCTCGACTTCCCCTGTCTAGGCTTGGGCAACCTGGCAGTATCCCAGCCCTCGTGCTTCCTTCACGTGGCATGGCAGTTAGGCACCAGAAGGGTGTTACGGCTGAACGATTTTTTTAATTTTTAGGTACAATATTCAACCACTCGGACATTACTTCCATTTTCAAGGACTCTATCAGAGATGTGCACAGTGCGAGAGTGCGTCTACGACTGGGATGGTTTTTGACCATGATTCGTATCTCTGGTTCTCTGAAACTCGACCTAGTATTGGGAGCTGGACCAACAGAGTACCATGTATGGACAGTATGTGTGCTCCTCCTGAAGAACTGAACAGAACGTCCCGATAATCGGATAATCCTTCAGCTGCGGAAGCTTCCGAAGAACGTAAGATGGGACAGGAGCGATCAAGAGGGCACTGTCGGGTTCGACCGTCCTGAAGAGACTGGACCTTACCGTAATTTGGCAGTTTGTGTACCTCGGCGACCCATTGAGCTATACTGGGGGGAGGGGGGTCCGCGTGACACTCACAGTCTCTCATACCAGGTTAGTCCATGGGTAGAGGTCTGATGAACAGGCTCCAGACACTCCAGGTTGGTTGTATGAACATGTATGGCGACGTGTTCCGTAAAAATGGTAATACATTGGCATTTCCCGCCGAACGCTGCTGCCTTACGG